CTCCGACATTAATATTAATATATAATACGTACTCCTATTTATATCGTTATGGTGGAGCTTATTCGTATGATTTCTTGTCGGCCAATCGGAGGCCATCAATTTTGTCCAATCCGACTCGAGCGCTACACCACCTACGCTTTCTTATTAATATACGCCAATAGGAAAAAAAACCGTTAGTTTTTATTAGTCCACGATCGGCTTTTTTCGCAGACGGTTGTCGTAACCGTCTTTGAGTGTAGTGGAATATAGCATCGCTTCTAGAAGGTTCCTTAGTTTGAAGACTGATCTGTAAAGGACCATGATGACTTTCACCATCGCGTCTCCGAGTTGCCCGTCTCCCGATGGCCCTATCGGTGCACCTTCACGCCGTTTCTGATTTTATAGATCTCACGATTCTAGTGTAAAGGTATTCCCTCCTCCATTTAATTCTCGCTCTATTGTTTGCCCTGCTCAAAAACGTAGACAGTATATATTATATACACCCGCTGCACATAAGTCATCCTTAGCCATCCTTAGTCGTGGATCAAAGTAGCCATCGATATAATATAACTTTTAAAAACATGTTATCTTTGTTTTAGCGCTACAGCAAAGAACGTTATTATTCAGTAACTGGGACGATACTAGAGGGAACGACCACCTGTAAGAAGTGACCGGAAGCTTCAAATACCAGTGAACTACTCTTGCCTTCGGATCCACACTCCTTCAAAAAGTCGTATCGACCGCTGACTTAGTTACAGAGCGCGACCCTATAAAAATGTCGGCCGTTGCCTGCTCATGGCTTCTAACATACGTCATAATAAAAATAGTAGTTTTGTGTAATAAATACTTTCAAACATCCTATCGTTTTATTGATTTCATTGAAAACGAAGCTTTTCTGGTGTCGGTTTAACATAATTCGTTAAGCCAGAGAGGTCCTGGGTTCGAATCCCGAAGAAACGAAACTGCTTCTTAACTAACATTTGCCTTAGTTTAGTTCTAATAGGTTAGATATTCTTGTACTCGCATATTACTTTTAATTTTTCAATTCTTGTGAACGAGATATATACTCTTATTAATATAACACAAAATTCAATATTGATAGCTCAATTAACACACTGCTTAGATTTAAGAATGACGATTTACAAAATATCTACGTCAGTGGTCTTAGCACCGACGCCATGTTGAGATGTACTATTTGTCTGGGGTTTTCAGTTTAAGCCCGGGGTAAGAACCGAGCTTCTAGCGACCTGCTTAAAGCGCCATCTAGCGTGCAGAGGAAAAATAGTAATCCATAAATACTACGTTACAAAGTAACTACAATATTTTTCAGACAATTTACCTACTGGTATTTAAAATATCTATATTTGTTAAAATTTCAATAAAATTCAAAAAAATTATATTGAATCGTAGGACTTACTCACTTATTCATAACATCGAATTCGTGAATCAATAAAATTTTACTAGCATAATAATGTTTTGTTTGCATCGGTCGATATATTAATCTGTACTAATATACAAAGCTTAAGAGTTTGCTTGTTGGTTTTTACTTTTGAACGCGCTAATCTCAGAAACTACTGGATCTGAATTGAATTTGTTTTGTGTATGTTAGGGCATTTATCGGATTGGCATTTAGGCTATAAAACACCACGACCCGACCATTTAGAATGAAGAAAATGTGAGAAATGTTGAAAAACGGGGAAAATTATTCGTCAATATACAATTAACAGTAAAAAATACTGCAAAATAAATACGAATTTTGCTTTCAGAATATTTTAATAAAAATAAGACAACATTAACACGAGATCTTTTCGTCGGTAGATGGCGCTTTAATACAACTTTAATCTTTCCATCTGAAGGGTGAGTAAAGAATTGCTTATCGGAATGTAATAGTTATGCTAATTACATTTGTTTAAATAAAACACTGTAACGATGTTAAACCGCGATATTGAAAACAGTCTCCCCGTGACCGTTTTCAACGGCTGCGGCAAAGAAACGTCGTCCTATCATTAATACTTTTCGCAGCGTATGCGAAGAAAGACATTTTACGGCTAATTTTTTTACGCCTACCGTTGGTTTTTAGTTAGAATTTCTATAGATTTCTATAGTAATCGAGTATTAAATATAGCCTATGTTACCCAGTGATAATGTAGTTTTCTAATGAAAAAAGAATTATTAAAATCAGTCCAGTACTTTTTGAGTTTATCCATTACATACAAAAATACAATTCTTTCCTCATTATAATATAAGTATAGACTAACCTAGGGAATAAGACTAATGTCGTGGAAGTATTGAATGCGTCGCGCAACTTTATTGCAGCCATAAAAGCCATTTTTGTGTTTCGCCGCCTTTGACGCACGTGCATTGAGCATTATTTTTTTAAAGTAAAAATTAAGTTACACTTACAAGTTACAATAATATTAACATAATATCATAACTCCGGTACCATAATATTAACATAATATCATAACCGATACGTTTAGGAAAGACCCTTTTTAATATTTAACATCTGAATAAACTTAGGTTTTTAGAATATGAACGCAATTAATATGACTATTGTTAAGAAGAAAATACATTAGGAATTAGGAAACACGACATTAAGGTCTCAGTTCATATTATTCTAATAATTAAGCTAATAATAAACAATCGACGATAGGTGGCGCTAATTTACATATATTTTTAAGACCAGTGAAGTTCTTTGTATTCGTAGAACCGGAGGTAATCGTTACCGAGTAACGATGTACATTACTACGTTACATTTGTTGTTGCCAAACATACCAGTATATAATGCAATATATACTGGTATGTTTGGTATACATCTTAATTTATTCAACAGTACTAAGTAATCAATTTTCGTTCAGTTTCGACGCTTTATCGAGTACGAAATAAGATATTTTAAAGTCATTTAACGCTTGAGCTGCAAATAGAAGTATACAATTATCAAATATAGTGAAAAATTCACTTACCGTACACGTCGACGATGGCTGACGACGATGGCTCATTTTCGTCACCTGGAATAGAAATGTGTTAAGATTAAGGCAGAGGAATATATTTTAGCTATCGGGTTACTTAAAATGTATCTTGTCGTATAGGAGTTTTATTGAATTCTAACACATAATCTCTCTATGATACTCTTAAAATACAACTTGTATTAGACAACTTTTAATTTAAAAAATAAATCTGAAGAGTTTGTAGTATGACTACTTACTGATAACCAGCGAGCAGCGCAGGCGTAACAAATCAAACGTACAGACGCTTCTTGCTCTAACCCGATTTAAAATGGCGGCGGTAGTCTAAGTAAATCGATTTGTAAAAAGAAGCAAATGGTTGAATTCTATAATTATATCTCTAGTGACAAGTGCCAATAAATAATAGTTATTTTACCCTATATCTATATTAAGGTTATAAAAATTATTGGTGTTTGGAGAAACCTGCTCTAACATGAAAAAAGATGAAGTAAGTATGCGAGGAGGAAATGTCGGGCCGAAATTAAAAATAATGTTCAAATAAATTAACTAATATATCGCGTTTTAAACCGTTAAAGTATTTTATTTAAATGTGTACTACTCGCGTAAACTATAGACAGTATTAATGCGAGGACTGTAAAATGAAACTTGTCGATAAAAGGAGTGGCAGCGAGTTTCTTGCCATTTCTTCTCGTTCGTTTTGCAGAGTTTGATTTGAGAACTGGTAGTAAAAGTAAATCGAGAGCTGTTATTTCTTTAGAGGTAACATTACATTGTTACGATAACATTATATTGCTTTCGAAATATTTAAATGATTTTAGGTCGCTTAAATTAAGCAAGTATTTACACTCACCGTCTGGTTGATGCACGCACGGCCACCTACTTAGTTAATTTTGAACACTAAATACTGTCTTTGGGTTTCGCCACTAGTACACATTTACTTAAAACTTCTTAACGTGAAATATACTAATTAAACTGAAGTATAACACTGTACCCATCTAAGATCAGCGGGCGACTGACGAACCTTGTGTGAGGGCGGCGCAAGAGTTACGAATCAAAAGTAACGGTCTAAAAAATGGCGGCGGTGAGCCATAGAGATTTTAAGAAAGCTTCGTTTGTAAATTATTTTCAAAGTATCCGAAACTTGACTAATTATGATTTTTTGGTTGCACTAAAGTTCTATTAAGAAAAGAATCATTCGCGGTTTAAGAATGTCGCTGTTAACATATATATTAATTTATTATATATTGATAAAGTAAAAAAACATATAATAATAAGCAAAGGAGTCATTGAATGTCAAATGTCTGAATGTATACAACCTTCATTTTTTCCCTCTTGTACTACGAACAAAATTCTTGCATTTACGAGATATGAGCAGGCTTCACTAGGATTCGTCTGCAGGATGCGTCTCGCTGGGCCTTCCTCGGTTAGACAATACCGCGATTCTCCATTCCTGCCTCTGCGCACTCATGACCTGAAATTGACATCGACAACACTTCACTTTAACTAGTTATCGCCTATTAATATTATAATTATAATAATTGCTAACATTATTACATAAATTGACACAATAATTTTGGACAAATACACTGTTCTCGGGGAGCCACCACGTAGTTTCTTCGACGTCAAGACGACGCACCGACGCGAGCTAACGCGCATTTATCACCTGAAATCGACACGACTATATTTGTAGTATAATAATAAGTAATGACTTACACATTTTACTAATTAAATAATGCTGCTATCATTGATACCAGGTACTTGAATCAAAACTTCAAGGAGCGTCTTACAGCACCACGCAAAGTTTCAATTTTATTGCATCCATAATTTTTTTTTTATGTTTTGCCGTCTTCTGCGCACGTGCACTCAGTATTATTTTACAAAGTTAAAGCAATACAAAAAAAAAGGAATTTTAATTGTAATTGATCGAAAAAAGCGAAAATTCGTATGCTCTTTCCGGGTGAAAGTAATGTTCTGGTTAAGACAAGAGAAACTTCTTTTTAATAGATATCGGGTAACTTAAAAAGTCTCTAATCTCGAAGAAGTGAAAATTCTAATTGAGATAAATATGCTCTCTCTATGATACATTAAAATGCGAAGTTTTTACTATACAACTCGAAATCATGAAACTTTCAGAATAATTATTGTGATTCATCAGCACCACTCTTATTTTATTTGAACGATGTGACTCTCTTACAAGTTATATAATGTCAAAGTAAAAAATAATTACATTATATTACTCGCATCGCTATGAACGTCAAACCAGTTAAAAACTAAAAACACTAAATGTACATTTACTACCAATTCTCAAATCAAGTACCTAAAACGAACGAAAGGAACTGGCAAGAAACTCGCCGCCAATCCGTATTTTAAGTGCACTACTTATTATGCTTGTATTAACGGGTCTTTCCAACCCCTAAACACTTTTATCGTTTAGATATTAATATTAACCCTTTCAACATACGATTTCAACTGATTTATTTACAGTTTCATAGAAAATTGCTTGAGGTTTGGAGACGTAGTTAGGAGACAAACGAGTCAAACGTACCGTTGCCTGACTTGTAATCTCGATTCAAAATGGCGGTAGTGAGTGGCAGGAATTAAGAGTTATTAAATGTTTGTCTCTAGACGATAATTTAAGAAATATATAATACTATTCTTTAATACTGTTTAACACATTATCGGAGTATTTAAAGTGATTTCAGATTACGTTAACTAAGTATTTATACTCACCAAATGGTCGATTCACACACATCACTCACTTTCGCTAGCTAACACTTCACTATTACTCATTGACAACCAGCAGGCGACTGAGGATCCTACGTGCGGGCGGCGCAGGAGTAAAGAGTCAAAGACACCGACGCTACTTGTGATTCCGATCTGTGCAGCTGTGAGCTGTGGGAATTGTAAGGGTGCGTCACTCGAAGTCTTAGTTGAAGTTTGCCGTACTGCAAATATATAGATTTTAATTACCTTCAACATTCATAATAATACACCAATAATTGTCGGATTTTCTATTTATAAAATAAATCTAGCAATTTTAAAAATATAAAAAAAAAATAAACTTTTATTTTCATTCACTATAAACAAAATAAGTGTAATTCGGGCTAACCGGAAGGGAACACATCCCACAAGTCACAAATAAGAATGGACTTGCATTTAGTAAGTATTTTATCAGATAAAAAATAATGATATTTTGTTTAAAACTAAGCACAGTCTACATCAACTCAAATCAATCAAATAATTCAAAGTAGTTTTGGCCATCATTCTAATCATTAAATATACTTGTACACTATAAATGTCAATACATTTAAAACGAAACGAAAACGATAACAATACATTTACAATAATTGTTACCTTCAATCAGGGACATGGAACAAACGAGAAGAACTGGCGATACACTCGCCATCGGTCCTTGTATCATCAAATGCTTCTTGCAAAGGTACTGTCTCCGTACATGCCTACATACATTTAGATTTTTATTTAAAAAAATATTTTCCCTAGACAATAAGAATATTAGTTTTAAGTTATCATAAGAGACTGTTTAGCTTCCTAAGTAAATAAATAAAAATAAATACTAAGTCTTCTCGCACTAGACGGATGACACATATTTTTTTCTTGTTGGAACGGATTTCTCCAAACCACGGGATTGTAACTAAATATTGAGTTTAGCCTTAAATCATTTCATTTTGGATTTTATCATTGAAGTATTCAAAAAATGTTTTAAGGGATGAAGCTAACATCGTGAGAATGCTTATTTCAGATTATTCTAGAAGTAAACTAGTTGCCGCCGCGCTTTAAAAATTTATCGCAACCATAATAAAACACGTCTTTGTGCTTTGCCGCTTCTGACACACGTGCACACTGCGTTGTTTCTAAAAGAAAAAGCATTATTTTATGTCCTCGACTCGACTCTGGTAAAGTCGGAAACGTTACAAATTATTTATTTACTAAATCTTTATTTTCTACCTAAGAGATAAGATAACAAATGCTATTTCTTCCCGGCAACGGTTGATCACGGCCGGCGTAACAAAATACACAATCTTTAAAATGGTAAAATTATACAAAATTAAAGATTGGACATAAATTGAAAACATATAACTCGGGCAGGACTTGAGCCGACATAGTATGCGTTCCGTGCTGTTCTACATCGTTGATATTTTTCAACTTATTTGACACATGCAGCTCTCGCGCAATGTAATTTCAACCTTAACACTAGCGCATTAAGATTCAATGTCTTATGCTTTGCGACTTAACAAATATTGAAGATATAATTACAAAGTTATAACGATTGAAAACTTTAATATTTACCAAATCTTATTGCACATTATGCCACTATATAACTTAAATCGAAGAAACAACCATCGACCATCACCGGGAGCCTGAGACTGAGAGCTTGTGTGCGGGCGGCGCAGGAGTAACGAATCCAACGTACCGTCGTTACTTAGAATACCGATTTAAAATTGTTGCTTTGTGTCACTCGGTGCTGGTTCAACATTTTCGTAGAGTAAATAAATATCTTTAAATTATCTTCAACGCTTATAATCCGAGAATGATTATAACATTTGCAACAAGCGACAAATTGCTATTGTGCGTTGATTAAACATCGCAATATTAAATGAAGGTTATAGCGTCCCGCTAATAAGATAGACTCGAGAAAAAGTTATTGATGTATAGTTAAATATGCATTTATTTATTATAGGTTTGTGTTTGTTTAGATACGTCACTTGAAACATATCCTTTGATATGCCCCTGGTATATATAAGACAATATATAAGTACCTATTATAAACAAGCAGACTTTAAAATTAAATGACAATATTGTGAAGGCGATACAAAAAAATCAGCCCTTCTGAATTTTTTCGTCTCTAACAAAGATGATATTCAGTTACATTATAAGTCATAGACAATTGAAACAATCTTTAGAACATTTGCAATGTCTACCTAGAAGTATAAATTAGATGAACACTTATTTTTCTGGTTTTACTTTGATATTTCGTTTAAAATTAAGTATGGTCTACATCAACTCAAATCATTAAATTTATGAAAGTCAATACTAATGGAAGTGGAATCTATATAAATGGACGTGGAACAAACGAAGAGAACTGGTAATATACTCGCGGACACTCCTTGTTCCGCCAAATTTAATATGTCTTCACACACTTCTGACATACATTTTTTTCTCGTTGACCGGGTTCCTCCAAACTGCGCCAAAGTCAGGGTTTTAGTATTGAGTTTTGGCGTAGAAGCCTCTCCAAATGGTTTTGTAATGTATGTAATCGTTACTTATTGATTGAAATTTACGAGTAATTTTATTTTAGTAACGCGGGACTGGTTATTTAAGTTAGTTTAAGAAGTGAATGTGTTTTGCCGCTTCTGACGCACGTGCGCTCTACATCACTTTTCGAAGAAAAAGTATTATTAAATATCGCTACGGTCGAATCTCGTAAGTTCGCAAATCCTTCGATTTTTTGAGAGTCCCTTACAAATTATTTATAAATCAACATTATATTCCACAATTAGGTGTAAATTCAATAAGGCTTAAAGAAATTTCTTTATATTTAAATAAAACACTTCAACGATTTAAAACGTGATATATTAGTTAAACTTATTTGAAAATGATTTTTAACGTCGGTCCCTCCGTGACCACGGCTGCTGCTGCAAAGCATTCTAAACGTCGGGCCGAAGTTAAAAATCATTTTCAAATAAGTTTAACTAATATATTTCGTTTTAAACCGTTAAAGTGTTTTATTTAAAAGTGTACTACTCGCGTAAACTATAGACAGTATTTAAATTTCTTTTAAAATACAGTGAAAACTCCATGTAACGACACTCTATTTAACGACAAACTCTCTTAAGCGTCGAAATTAATTGGCTTTGGTTGGTTTAGCTTGTTTTTCATACAATTTTTCTTCTCTCCATTTAACGACAACTCTCTATAACGCCATAAAATGCACAGTCCCTTCAGTGTCGCTATATAGAGTTTACACTGTAATTGTGAAGCCTATTAGTTTAATTTAACTTAAAACCTTAAAAAATTAAAAGGGTATTAAGAATTAAGCCTCAAGAGGAAATTAATGAAACAAATTAAACTTTTTATTTTAAAAATAAATGTAATAAATAATATTTTATCAAAAATTAAAAATTCATAATTAATTATGTTGGAAAAAATCCGAGGAAGAGTCTTATTTTACAACCTTTACAACTTAATTATTTTAGACTCATTACATCTATAGCTCCAATACAAATAAGTTACCGACTTTAAGAATTTGCAACGAATGAATAGAATTACTACGAATTTATGACTCACATTAACACGTGTTTGCTTGGTTGATGTCAGGTGTTTCATTTTATTACTTTGATTTAATTTGGATGAAAGTTATTTGTTTTCGGATTAAATGTTGTCAGAAGTAGTTTGGTTCTACTGCAATACATATCAATTTGTACATCAGTTTACAAATGTTGTTGTAAACATGAATGCTGTACAACGTATTTTACCTCTCTTACTCAAAATTTATAAGAATGAACCTCAACGTCCATATGTCGAATAAAAATCCGCCTAAGTCGAAATTCTATCTAAACTCTCAAACTCGATTTTTTTGGCGTCTCCCTTGATATTCGACTTATAGAGGTTCTACTGTATTTGCGAATCAGAAGTAGACTGGGGGTTGAACCTATTTTTATTAAAAGAGATGAGTTCAAATATTAAAAATAAATATTGATTGGATAAGAAAATATTTTAATGAAGCTTCAGTACCTATTAAATATTTTTTTCTATTAGAAATTAAGGGGATAAATCTTAATAAATTAATTTCTAATCTAATTTAACAACTTACCCACGAATTAGAAGAAATAGAAATTAGTATAATAAAAAAATAAATAAATTAAGATTTAGTATAGTTTGAAATAAATAACGAATTTTGTGCCAGCAGTTCCAAAATTTATTTATATAAATTTTATTGGTAAAAATAAATAATTTAGAAAGTATTATAAAAAAAAATAATAAGAAATTATTTAAAAATATATATATTTAAACAAGGATTAGATACCCTATTATAATAACTTAAATTATGTTACTGATTATTAACATTCTAGCAGGGGAATTTCAGAGGCCGCTTAAGTCGCGTATACGTAAAACTATAAAGAAGTAATTTTGTGGTTCTTATTGTCTATTTAATGTTTTATTACTGAGAATCGGAGTTCTACCTACTTCCAGGAACAACAGAAGCCGAGCGGTGTTCCTCTACATGCATCTATTATAATTTCTGTTATTTTATTTTTTTTTAAGTTAATCTTACGAGATAGACACGTAGTGTCGCGGAGATATTTTTAGATCATTTAAAGACGCATCATTCAGATTCGTTGGTCTTCTTGAACCGTTCTCGCAGCATCAGCATCGGGAACCAAAAAAAAAAAAGTGTGCGTGTACTAGTGTACACACGTAAGAAGTGAAACTTCTTTAAGGCCTTATTTTTCGCAAAATGATCTACATGCAACTTTCCACTAATTGGTTAAATAAAGTTTAAACAAAAGGATTTTATTATCATAGACATTAATACAATTATTTCACTTTGACTTTTTGCTACTACGATTTCATTAATTGTAATAGAATTATTACTATCATTGTCATCGTTATTATATATTTTTATAATTAATGACTTATGGTAACTGAAATATGGAATATATGGTTTACATTCCACGAAATTTAGTGACCGAGTAAAAACTCCATCAATTGTAGTGCCAGATCTTGTTGTTGACGTTTGAGGACTGTTTTTCATGGATAAATTCGTATTATTTAATAAATACCATTTTAATGAAATCATATACATTGACCGATAGTTACAACCAGAAACTGAGGTTAACTTTAAATATCCTAAATTAAAAAAAAAAATACCACAACCGCACCCAAGTATTAGAAAGAGATTATAATTACTAACTTTTGTTAAAAATCCACTGGAATTAGAATTAAAATAAAGCCTTTGATTTTGTTGATCACTTTAGTATTGATATATTATTTATCACGTCGCTATTGCGTTGCAGATAATGAAGTTTCACTTCAAAATTCCCGTTTTTTTTCAACATTTCCCGCTATTTCTTCGCTCCTATTAGTCACAAGCCTATAGCCGTACTCGATTAATGTTCTTCACAAAAATAATTGTAAATTTGTACTTGTAGTTTCTGAGATAAGCGCGCTCGAACAAACAAACAAACTCTTCAGCTTTTTAAATTAGTTTAGATAGATAAGCAGGCTTAATGCTACAATCCCATTTATTTTGACTACACGCGTTCAGGAAATAAAAATCAATTTATCATCTAATATCGAACAGAGAAGGAAATAAAAGAACACGTTGCACGTGTTACAACAAAATACGATGCATTGTTTAAAATTATGATAACTTACATACTTTCTTCATAGGCGACATTTAAGTTTTTTTTAAGTAAAAAATAAATGATTTCATGATTATTATAAGCAACAACTTATTATTTTTATGCAAAAACTCAAAAAGGAATTATAAGAATCGGCTTGTTGACCCTCGCATCAAAATCAACTATTTTACGAACATTTAACTTTTCTAATTCCCTTCGTCTGTCTCTCGCCTGTCTCGAATCTCGATTGCAAAATCGTATGTAGGTTATGCACATTCATCGTGATCGTCGTGTACATTCTAGAATCATATCTAACCATATCCAATCCTATGAGTAGGCTTAAAAGCATCTAAACAAGATGCTTCCGAGTATCGACAGTCTACAGACTCAAACCGAACTTATAGACAAAACCGCCCATTTATTATCCAGACTTCCAAAGTCTCACATGTTTCAGAAAAATTATAAACTGATTAGGAAAATATTTTACCGGGTATGGGTCGACTCCAAGACAGTTGATTATTAGCCACACATGAGACCATCAAACCTGTCATATTTCATTTATTATAAGGATCATAGATATTTTATATCGTTGGCTGAAATTTCCAGGTGTTCGGGTGTCCCGCGAGTCTCACAAAGATATTTCAGGGCCTTGTCGCAAGTGTTAATACATGGTACAAGAACATTTGCGACAAGGCCTCGCCGGACAAAATGTCGAGTGAGAGTGAGTTGTATATAGTTTGTTAAAGGTATTTACGTTTTTTTTAACTATTTCATTAATTTTTTACATAGTTTCGACATACTTATACAGTTTTATTTCTATATTTTCAATTAAATCACTCAATTTGGTTAGTCGATGAACCGAATGAATTAATTGTTGAACATGTTATGAACAAATTACACAATTTAAAAATGTTGAGTTGTAGTATCGAAATTAAAGGATCGACATGAGATCAACATGACTCCTTAAATACTAGTTCTACAGATTCTCAAATCGAGCTATAGGACATTTTTTGAGGCTATAAATCCTAATATTAAGCAAAGCGCTCGCGCACGGTCAGAGCTTTGTTAGATTGTGGAGGCCAGTCCTCATTTAGTACGCAATCACTAAAAGATAAACGTTACTTACCTATACTTTCTAATTATTAACTAAAGTTTTTTTTATAGGAAACCAAATTGCCACTTTCAATGTTTTAATCTCTTTCGGGCAATCTTCGTCTTGAGCTAATGTTAAAAAGCGGTAAATTCGTTTGTATTATTACTGGACTAATTTATTACGAAATGTTTTAACTAAGAACTTTAGAATATCGCTATCGATTAATCTTGACGTTTGAAACGCTTTTCAGCAAACGTGCCTACGTATATTATAGCAACTTAATAGTTTTTGACTTTACTTAAATCGTAGAAACATAGGTAAAGAAATTTTAATTTGTCCATTAATGTAAACTCATGCTTTAGGATTGTATTAATTTAGCGTGAAACTGTGGTTTTTACTGAGTGAATTTGTGTTCATTAGCTTAATATATAATCCAGTGTCTCAAAGTATCTATAGTGCAAAGCAATTTATACCTTGTGAGAAAACCACGATTTCATATAAATTGTGTTTATTTACCAAAATTGTCAATTAAAAACAATACACTTAACTTATTTGAGAACAGATGTTAATTGGCATTTCAGTCAATATTTCCGAGATTCAAGTATAAAGATACAAATCTTCATATAAGGCACACTTTGGGGGAGAATTAAAACAAAGGTAATTTATAAATTTTTCAATCATGTACTAAATTAATTATCATTGATATCATTCCTTTTTTTTAATTGTTCAACACGACCCGTAACACTGCTTTCGGAATGGTTGATTCGAACGCAGCATCTCTTTCGTTATTACTATAAGGAAAAATTTACATAGCAATTGAATAAGCAAACGTATCTTTCGGCTTCGTAGCCACAGTCGCAGTTATTTTGATAAGTTACTCACGAATTAATCAACTCGGTAAATACAATTCATACGAAAAAAGAAAGAAACAAAACGTTTGAGTTAAATAACTCTTTTTCCTTAATACTATAAAATACAAAAAATCAACAACGACACTCTAAATAAAAATATATATTAATAAAAGCTAGGTTCGAAATCACATCTTTCCGACGATATTTAATAACTAATACTATGTTTAATTATTAATATTTTTAATAACTAATACTAAGATGCAAGTAACGAATAGAATACCGGAAAGTAATCGTTACCGAGTCACGGTGCACACAAGATTACGTTTTTAGGTATGTTGACTTACATACGAGTGTTTAATGCATTTTACATCTGATCGTATACTACAGTAAGAAGTAATATAAAACAAATATTGTGTCACGAACGACAAACAAAAGTAAGGTTTTAAATAAGAACTGCGAAATACGGTCATAAATATTTGACTCCATTTCACTGCAATAATGTTTTTACAGGTTAAACAATTAATTCAAATAAGTATTAAAAATCTACAATTAATTAATAATTTTTAAACTCAGGAGGCCAAATTTGTTTACGTTCAAATCCATCGCCATAAACGTGGCTATATCCATCCGTACGCGATCCTTCGAGGACGAAATTAAGCTCAGAGATATACCTATCTATGGGACAAAACAACCAAAAAGTCAAGTAATGAAAAACGAACAATCACACACATTATCAAATATAATAAATTATCACTTACCGTAGTAGTACGTAGTCAGCCTGAGCCGTGAACATCGTCTGTAAAAGAAATGTCACTTAAAATGTGTCCACACGATATAAGTCAGAATTGTATATTACCCATCTCTCTATGATAGTTTAATTTATCGAAATCGTCAAATTTAATGTTGTTTTTGTGCAGCTTTTTTATTTGAACGACATTAAAAAGCAGCGCGAGTCTAAAGAATATCTACTAGAGGTTTACTCGGCTCAATTTATTTTCAACCGAGTAGGTACTCGGTTCCATCAAACTCCCATTTCGCGCGCGTAAACAAGTACAAACAGACTTGCGCCGGTCATGACATCGGCTCGCTGCCATTTTCTCGTAATTTTGTGTCAGTCTAATTAATTAGCATAGTTTTGATTAAATTACTAATAAATAATTTTGGATAGTGTTGTTACTGCCGAGTATCGACTATCAACTGAGTACACGGTACATCTCTAATATGTACCAAAGCAGCGCGGAAGTAACTAGTCAATCGAACCGATCTAAAATGGCGGTGGTGAGCAGTAGGAATTGAAGATTCCTAAAATGTTTGTCTCTACACGATCGTTCAACAAATACGACTCGTACTAGACACCAATCGGTTGAATTCAAATCTAAGATGGCGGCGAATGGTCTCTGTCCTTTTAAGTTGTGCAACGCCAAAGCGTCACACTGTTTTCGGAATATTCAAGTAATTTTAGATTACCCAAAGTAAAATTGTTCTGTTTGACCGATATAACACTATATAATTACGTTTGTCCTCGACGATAGTTTAACAAATACCTACGACTGTTAATAGAGGCCGATCGGTTGAATTTAAATTTAAGATGGCGGCGCGTGGGCGCTTTGACGCTGTTTAATACGAAAACGTGACACTTGTCGGAATATTTAAAATTATTATAGAGCAAGTAATGTAAGGAAGTATATACACTCACCAAATTGTTGGTTTACACGCAGCACCCACTTTTGTTATTTTAAACGGAATTACACTACATAATTACTCTTCGACAACCATCGGGCGACTGAAGAACTTATGTGCAGGCGGCGCAGGAGCAACGACTCAAACGCACCGACGCTTTGCGATATCGATCTAAAATGGCGGCTGTGAGCTGTAGGAATTATAAAGGTGCTTTACTCAAAGTCTTGGTTTTCCGTGTTTTCCTTGCCAAAAGTATATTTTTGAGTTTTCTTTTTAACATTAAATAATAATAGGATTAGATCCGGGAATTGACTAAATTTCTCTTTGTGCGATAAATTTATTAGCGCAAAGTGTTAACAATTATCAACGTTACGCATAATGGCGTCGAATAAACATTACGGTTCGATTTAACACCACAATATTACAACATACAACTCCTATTGAAACGTCTCGCCCTTATGATTTAATTAGGCTCGGTCTACCTCAACTTAAACCAAATCATTCAAATCAATAAATATTTTATGTACGAATGTCACTGTATTTATTTATTTACAAGACTCTTACTTTTCTATTATTATCAGTTCTCAAATCAGGGACGCGGAAGGAACGAGAAAACTGGCAATTTCCTCCCCGCCACTCCTTGTATCGCAAAATCCATTTTTGAAGTCTACACCTAAACTGTTTTATCGTTGAATATTCAAAAAACGATTTAAGAATAAAACTAAGATCGCGGGAATGGTTATTTAAGTTAGTTTAAGAAGTAAATGTGTTGCTCCCGCGCAAGTTTTCAAATTTATTGTACCCAAAAAAAAACGTGTTTGTGTTTTGCCGCTTCGAACGCACGTGCACTCTACTTGTTATTTTTCGAAGAAAAGCATTATTTTATGTCGTTCTACTCGACTATCCTAAACACGGACACGTTCAAAATATTTATTTATTAACACTTTAACATGTATATATACTTATTTTTTGCACAATAGATAAGATAATGAATCCGTTCTCCTCCCGGCAACGGTTGTTCACGGCCGGCGTAAAAAAATAAACGAAATTTAAAAAAAAAATTACAAAACATACATATTTACCTACCTGATGCCTACTTTTCCTGAACGTTAACTAAGATGCATACTTAGTTAGGTAAATAAATAAGTAAATAGTGTCTGTTTTACTCTGACTTATAATTAATGGATTGAAAATAATTATAAATAGGCATGTTCTAAGATAGAAGAAAGGGGGGGGGGGGGGGGCATGCGCATAAACGATTAAAGTGTGTTGTTATTGCGCCATTAGAAACTACGTATCGTTTTTTAAATATTAAACTATTTTATCTAGATTATTAATTTACACTCACCGTAATTCACACGCATCACCCACTTTCGTTATTTTGAACGGCTGAGACTTAGAGCTTGTGTGCGGGCGGCGCAAGAGTAACGAA